AACACATGGACAGAGAGAACTGTTTGGTGGTTACCTGGGGCAAGGCGGGTGGGGAGTGGGCACAATGGGTGAAGGAATGCATTTATATGGTGACTGACAAACAATAATGTACAACAAAAATTTCACGATAAAGAAAAAACAAGTTGGAAACAATAGCCTACATTGAGGACCGGTTCAATAAATTACGATATAGCTCAAGTAAAAGAATAGTATACTGCCATCAAATGTTGTAAAAGTTTATTAACTGACACAAAAAGATGTTTACAATATGCTAAGTGAAAAAGCAAGCAGCAAAACAGTACATGTGTTATATGTCCACTTTAAGAATTCATATATGTATAGAAAAGAATCTGGAAGGATATATACAAGGTGTCAACAGCTTACTTTAGGTAGGGTCGGAATTATAATTTTGATATTTTGCTTGTTTCTTTGTGTGTGTGTGTCTTTAAGGACAAGTTTTGTTTAGTAATAAAAAATTATTTAAAAATTAACTCTACTTAAAAATAGTCTGATTCACATTTAGTTGAGTTTTAGTTAAATAATTCATCAATTGGGTGAATTCGAATATGCAGTGGATATCAGATGATACGATGGAGCTATTGTAAATTTTCTTAGGTTTGATCATGGTACTATGGTTATGTAATAATGTCCTTATTTTAAGGAGATGTATGCTGCAGCATATCGGGTAAATTATCATGATGTCTGAGACTTCCTTTTAAATGTCACAGAAAAAAAATTACATAAAGAGATCAAGCAAATACCTAGAATTGATCAACCTATATACAGCATATAGGGGTGCTATGCTATTCTTTCAACTTTTCTATATGTTTGAAAACTTTCACAATAAAAGTTGGAAAAAGAGTTGAATTCACAGGTTTTCCCTGTTTTAAAACCTAATGTAAAAATCCAAAAGGTGAAAAAGTATAAATTAGGGAGTGATAATATACACTAAAAAATAAGTTCCCTCATCGTTTCACAAAGACCTATAACATAACAGAGGGCAAGCAATCTTTGTGGGTACTGGTATTCTCAGCTGTAAAAGATGAGGGTGAAACTTGGTTCATTCACGGATTCCACAAGAATTTATTGAGTTGGGCCAGGCAGTGGTAAATACGCTTAAAACCCACTAGGGAAAATCATTAATGCCATTTCTACTGCTAGAACTCTGAGATGATTCACTCACTTGAGGATTCCTTTTAACAGCAAAAATTCTGAAGTCAGTGTTTCTCAAACTAGGGTTCATGGATGAACTGCCAGAAATCTAAGAGTTCCCTACAAGAGTTTTTAGATTTTAAGTTTTGATTCTGAGGATACCATTAATATAAATCATCAGATCATCAGGATGACAGAATATTTCAGTGTCTATTTGCTTTTCTGTTTAGAATTAAGTTGGTACCAAGAAGTATTTTAATTGTCCAAGGCTAATTTTAAAAAAGGATAAAAAGGGAAGGGAGGTGGTAGAGGAGAGATGCATTAGTGTTGAGAGAAGCAAGGAACGTCACAGTGCAACGTAAGGTTTCGTAGTAGGTTAAAGAGAGAAACGTAGAGAAAGAATGAAGGCTTTGAAAGGCACATGGCAGTACAGGCCGAATGCAAAAAATTCTGTGCCACAATAGATGGCACAATATTTGTGTTATAATCAGCAATTTCAGCAAAACACTATTACTTATCACATTAAATAAGCATTATTAGTTTGAATTGTGTTGGTTTTAGTTTTCACTTGTGTCTGTAATATGCAAATTTGGTTTCTGGTCAAATAGGTGTATTTACACCTAGTATTGTTAGTGCACATTTAAATCACATTAAAATAAAAATAATTTAAGTCACCATTGGGAGATTTCAAGTTTTTTCCTTTAAAAAGATCTGTATACGGGCTGGCCTGGTGGCATAGTGGTTAAGTTCGAGCGCTCCACTTCGGCGGCCCGGGGTTTGCAGGTTTGGATCCCAGGCGCAGACTGACGCACCGCTTGTCGAGCCATGCTGTGGCAGCGTCCCATATAAAGTAGAGGAAGATGGGCATGGATGTTAGCCCAGGGCCAATCTTCCTCAGCAAAAAGAGGAGGATTGGCAACAGCTGTTAGCTCAGGGCTAGTCTTTCTCACCAAAAAAAAAAAAAAAAAGTTTTGTATATTACTCAAGTTTGAGAAACATAGCATTAGGGATTTAATAACATATAATCTCATTTACAAAAATTTTATCTACCCATAATTTTACAAGAATGCCTCTATTGTTTAAGATATTATTAGTGAATTTTCAGTTACTGTAAACATGTAAGATAAGGTTGAATTTTAACATACCAGGTGGGTTAATATATTATATAATTTATATAGTTTGTATCTAGTCAAATCATATCATAGGCACATTCAGTATCTATACATGCATATGAACAAGTAAACTGAAATATTTTTCTCTCTGTTAGTAGTTGTTCCTTTAAATTGATCACTTTCTTATTTTTTCAAGAGATACCTGAGGGACTGTTATTTACCTCTTTGGGTGTTAATCCAGGAACAAGCCTTGCCACAGTTTCCCAGTTGATGGTCTGCTGGATTCCGATTAATGGATAAAGGATCATGTCCAACACCATTTGGTTGTTATTGTTCAGGAAATTGTTGTTTTCTGAATAGCCACGACTCATCTTTTGGAACTAAAGATAAAGAAGACAAATATATTTATTCACATCTGAAATCCAAATGTTTTCAGAACATTATAAATCAGTTATAACACATTCCTAAGAATTATCTGCTACTATGTAGAGGAAAAATGAAACTGATCTAAAATGAACACAGAATATACAGCTCAAATCTCTTCAAATATAATAGCATTTGAATATTACAGATTAGTGGATAGACGGATAGAAGGATGAACAGATGGATAAATATGTGATTAAAAAGTATAATAAAATATTAATGGTAGAATCTAAGTGGTAGGTATATGGGTGTTCATTATAAATTCTTTTTTTTGCGAGTAAGATCAGCCCTGAGCTAACATCCGACGCCAATCCTCCTCTTTTTTGCTGAGGAAGATTGGCCCTGGGATAAGATCCATGCCCATTGTCCTCTACTTTATATGGGACGCTGCCACAGCATGGCTTGACAAGCAGTGCGTCGGTGGGCGCCCCGATCCGAACCTGTGAACCCTGGGCCGCCAAAGTGGAGCGTGCGCACTTACGCGCTGCGCCACCAGGTGGGCCCTAATTATAAAACTCTTTTGACTTTGCTGTATGGTTAAGATTTTTCATAATAAAATGTTGGGGAAAAAAGTTGAATACAATTTATCTTCCTAGGGCCGGCTCCGTGGCTTAGCGGTTAAGTGCGCGCGCTCTGATGCTGGCGGCCCGGGTTCGGATCCCGGGAGCGCCCCGAGGCACCACTTCTCCGTCCAACGCGAGGCCGAGTCCCACGTACAGCAACTAGAAGGATGTGAACCTATGACATACAACTATCTACTGGGGCTTTGGGGGGAAAAAACTGAATAAATAAAATTAAAAAAAAAAAACAAAAAAAACAATTTATCTTCCTAAAAAAAATCCTTAAGTGTGCCTGATTTATACTTTTACTACAAATTCATGGAAGGTGGAATTAAACCGTAAAAAAAATAGCTGGTTAAAAAGAATTATAATTTCATTCTAGTCCTAAGCAATATTTCTTTTATTTTTCTGTGCATGAATATCCATGCTACAAATAATGAAGGCTGAACATACTTAATTTTTACTGAGGTAATCAAACGAAATTTAAAACCCAGTTAATCTCACATTTTAGGATAAGTATAATCATCATTATTGTGCCATGTGATTATTAGTTATGAATGGCAGGAATATTATATCAACAACTGTAATTAGTATTATTTTTATATGTTTGAAACAACTTTTGGAAAGTTCTTCTCTTCTTCCTTGCCTTCAGAGGCAATGTCACAATTGGCCTGATAAGGTTTAATCCTTATACACACGCTGACACTCATATATAAAAAGCCAAGGCACCTCCACACACCTAAACATACATACTCACACCTGCAGAAGGGAGGCTTCTCTTGCTTCTTCACCTGGCTCCCCACCCATCTCTCTTCCCATCACATCCTCTAGTTCAATCCAGGAGCTCTTGAGTTACATATCCAGTGACCAAGGGTGTCCAAGATCTTCAGGCAATAGGATCATGAAGAAAAAAGCCTTAAGTGGCTTCCCAAATGAATGGAGTTCAACAAACATTTAGTGAGTCCCAACTATGAGCCAAGCGTCAGGGATACAAAGATAAATATGGCATAGTCCCCGTCCTCAAGGAGTTTATAGTCTGGTGAGGGATACTAGTAGACAATTTTAATATCATTCGCTGAGAGCCAAAGCAGAGAACAGCCATGGAGGGGAAGAGGAGGGACAGATAAATAGGTGTTATTTACTGAGTATTTACTAGGAGCCTGGAACTGTGCTAAATCTTTTACGTAAGTTATTTCAATAAATTCTCACCACATCCCTACAAGATAGGTGCTCTCCCCAATATTACAAGATGAAGAAGATAAGTAATTTGTACAAGGCCACAGAGATAACAAGAGGCAGAGCAAGGATTCAAACCCAGGTAAAACCGACTCTCAAATCCATGCTTTTTCCATTACATACAAGAGGTACAGTAAAGGGGAGCTAGCAGGTTGGGAATGATGCCTTAGGGTGGAGAGAGACACAGTCTAACACATTTTGAAGTTAGTTATGATACGATGAAACAATTTTTTCCCCTTTTTTTTATTGTGGCAACATTGGTTTATAACATTATATAAATTTATAAAACTCTAAAATTCTATAAAAAGAATAGAACCGGCCCAGTGGCGTAGTGGTTAAGTTCATGTGCTCCACTTAGGCAGCCCAGGGTTCACCGGTTTGGATCCTGGGCGTGGACTACACACCACTCATCAAGCCATGCTGTGGCAGTGTGCTACATACAAAATAGAGGAAGGGTGGCACAGATGTTAGCTCCGGGACAATCTTCCTCAGCAAAAGGAGGAAGATTGGCAGCAGATGTTAGCATGGGGCCAATCTTCCTCACCAAAAAAAAAAAAATAATAATTTTAAGAAACTTTTTTGTATTAATGTATATGAGACATTTCTTATTTTATTCAAACACTTACTGAGCACCCACTATGTGCCAGGCACCATATCTGAAGTTAGAACATACATTTATTTTTTTATTTTTATTTTTTTAAAAGATTTATTTATTTATTTTTTCCCCCCCAAAGCCCCAGTAGATAGTTGTATGTCATAGCTGCACATCCTTCTAGTTGCTGCATGTGGGACGCGGCCTCAGCATGGCCGGAGAAGCGGTGCATCGGTGCACGCCCAGGATCCGAACCCCGGCCGCCAGCAGCAGAGCACGCGCACTTAACCACTAAGACACGGGGCCGGCCCAGAATATACATTTATAGACGAAAATAATGATAAAGATTTATGACTAGTCATATCTACGATTTAATTAATGTTGAATTCTGGGTTGGGAATATAAGCTGTTCTTATGGAAAAATATTACCTATTTTAGGACAAGAAGTATAAGGCAAATATAAGCTGTTCTTATGGAAAAATATTACCTATTTTAGGACAAGAAGTATAAGGCAAAGGTTCACTGACAGACAAGTACAGTGGAAAAAGTAGTGTATACAGGAGTCTGAAGCTCTGGGTTGAGTTTTAACCCCACACATGCTAGTCAAGGCAAGTTATCTGAACTTCAGCAATAAAATTAGGTGATGGTAATACCATTACTTCGGCAATAAAATTAAGTGATGGTAATACCTCTGACTGACAGTGTAGAGAGAATCAAAGGGATTATTTTGTGAAATCACTTTGAAGACAATAAAAGTGCCTCACAAATGTCATGAAGCATAAAATAACAGCATTATCTCCTAGGACCGTGCTGAGGATTACGTGAGATGTTTAAATGCTGGAATGGGGAGTTGGAATACAGAAGCTCTCAGTAAATGTTAACTATGATTAGTACTACGTAATTGTTTACATAAAACACTGGTATAGGACATCAGGTGGTAGACATCATGAAATTATCCTATACGCTTCTGCATGAACATTAAAAAAAAACAAAGAGGGGCCGGCCCCGTGGCTTAGCGGTTAAGTGCGCGTGCTCTGCTACTGGCAGCCTGGGTTTGGACCCAGGTGCGCACGTATGCACTACTTGTCTGGCCATGCTGAGGTGGCGTCCCACATACAACAACTAGAAGGATGTGCAACTATGATGTACAACTATCTGCTGGGGCCTTGGGGAGAAAAAGGGGAAGAAAAGGAGGAGGATTGGCAATAGATGTTAGCTCAGAGCCTGTCTTCCTCAGCAAAAAGAGAGGAGGATTGGCATGGATGTTAGCTCAGGGATGATCTTCCTCACACAAAAAAAAGTATGTTAAAAAGAAAAACCCTAAGCACTCTAAAATCATAGCTTCTTAGCAACCAGAGAGGTACCTTGTTGATGGGCCAGAATCGTGTTGAGGATAAGAGTATAGACTCTGGAGCCAGACTGCCCAAATTTTCCTCTGGGTTCTAACACTTAGGGTATTATCTGGTTCAGATTACTTATCGCTATGCCTCAATTTCCTCATCTGTAAAACAAAGAATTATAGTAGCTAGCCCACATACTTTTGAGGATATCTGGACAGTGCTACCTGGCACACAGTAAGGACTATATATTTGTAGTAGTAACATTACCATTCCAGAGATCCTCAGATTAAACAGATTCATGAAGATAAATGTGACAATGAAAAGGAGAGACAGCAACTTTCCAGTGAAGTATGCTCTCAACAAAATGAGTAGAAAGTCAGACCTAGATTCTTATCCAGCTTTACCACTTCCAGCAGTACAACCCATAGTTTCAATTGTCTCAGCTATAATATAAGGAAAATAATACTTACCTTTGGGTTACTATAAAGATTAAATAATAATATACATAAAGCACCCAGCACACTACTTGGCATACAAACAGTGTTCAAAAAATAATTTATTACTATTTTATTACTACTACTATTTTTTCCCCTTTCTATTTTGGCTACCATTGGCATAAAAAATTTCCAAGAACTTAATAACTATAAAACACTGGCCTTGAGTCCAGTCGAAAACAGATTTTACAGAACTTCACTGTTCTCTACTTGTGTGCCTAGCACATCAACACTTTTCATACCACACAATTTGAGACGTATGGTAGGGCACGAGGTATTTTATTATAATTTGTTTAGACCTCAGTATAAAGTCTAAAACAGAATTCAGGGCAAGGACCTGGGTGTTGTTTTTTCTTCACTTAAAAGATTCATTTAAAATTTCTAAAATAGGGGGCTGGCCCCATGGCTTAGCGGTTAAGTGCACGCGCTCAGCTATTGGCAGCCCGGGGTTCGGATACCGGGCGCACACCGTCGCACCGCTTGTCAGGCCATGCTGAGGCCGCGTCCCACATACAGCAACTAGAAGGATGTGCAACTATGACATACAACTATATACTGGGGCTTTGGGGGAAAGAAAAAAAGGAGGAGGATTGGCAATAGATGTTAGCTCAGAGCTGGTCTTCCTCAGCAAGAAGAGGAGGATTAGCACAGATAGTTAGCTCAGGGCTGATCGTCCTCAAAAAAATAAATAAATAAAAATAAAAAAATAATAAAATTTCTAAAATATTTATTGTGGCCTACAATATGCAGGCAGGCACCTGTTAGCTAATCACAAATACTGTCCAGATCAAATACTTTAAAACTTGTATGTATATTTCAAATATGATACTCACTTATACATGTTTAAGAATTATTTAAATCATCTAGATGTGAAAAAATTTTTTTCTGTTGACATTTTCTTTACACAATTGAATCATATCAAGCAAGGGAAGACTACCCAGTATTAATTCCAGTAAAACGAAAGTTCAAGAAAGCATCCCTTAGAGTCTGAACGTTAAGTATGAAAGGCACAGCATTGACAGATAATCCTTAATAACACAAAAATTCCCTCGGAATAGCTGTCACAGTGCACCCCATTCTGGAAAAAAAAATAAACTTATCAAAAACTCTGACAGTAAGAAAAAGTTTGAAGCTCAAATTACTACTAAATCTACTCATTCATGATAAAATATTTTTTTAAAAAGTTAATGTTTAATGTGAAACGTCTTATTTACCATAAATAAAAATTCTATTTGTTTAATACATTACACTTTTTAAGAACACACGTCACGTCCCCTCCCCCATTCCCACAATTTTGGTTTATTTAAATGTATTAAGAAGACCAATCTAATTAATTAATTAATTAAGACCAAATCGAGGTCCACGATTGGCGTCTGATTTTTTTTTTTTCCCCCAAATAGAAAAAGGCTCTTGTAGACAGAGTTTATTTTTCCCTCGGCAGTGGTAAGATGGGAAGCTAGGAGGGCCGGTAGGGCAGGTCAAATGCCTTTGGCATCACAGGGTGGGAGGTGACATCCCACCAGGGGTGACGCCTCGAGCCCAGGCTTCCTGACCACAAATGAGAACGGAGGCATTTGGCTTTCATCGTGAAGGAGGAAGGAGAAGCACATCGGCCCGCCAGGATGAATACATCAAAGCCCTGCAAACCTTCAGCCCAGAGGCTCACTGCGCGGCGCGTCCTCAGGGCACCCCAGACCTTCGCGGTCTCCCGGCCTCTCCCGTAGGGGCAGGAACTTTCGGGGCGCGGAGCGAGCGGCGAGGGGGACAAAGGCGCCGGGCAGCGGGGCGAAGCCGTGGGAAGACGCGGGGCAGACCCGGGGCGCGGCCGGGCGGGCTGACGCTGGGGCTCCCTCAGCTGGTGAGCGGGCGGAACGTGCTGATGGGATCTGGAGCGGGCAGGGCCCGCGGGCTGCGCGTGGGGGCGTTCGGAGGCGTTTGGGCGAGCGGAACCCCGGCCCGGCCCGGCCCGGCCCGCGTGGGAGGAGGCCGCGGCGGGAACGCGCGGGGGCCAGCGATACCGCCCCTCGCAGCTCTTCCCGCCCCAGAGCCGCCACCCGACCCCCCTCGGCGTCTCGCTCACCTCCACAGGGCCGCAGCGCCGCTCGCTGCACCTCCGTCACCTGCAGCGGCCCGCACCGCCCGCGCTCGCGCCATGAAGCTCCCACGACCCGGCCCGCAACGCTGTCGACAGCACCCCCAGAAGCATCCCCCACCCACTCGCAGGCAGTGGCAGAGGGACCAGCGCCGGGGGGCGGGGCAGCGCCGGGCCCAACGCTGCCCTGCCAATCGCGGGCCAGCGCCACAGCGGCGGAGCCAATGAGCGACGAGCTCCTGCGGGGCGAGAGGGAGCCGGACGAGCCGCCGCGGCAAGCAGCCGCCTTGCTTTGCCTTTACCATCCCCTTCCCCCTCTTGCAGTCACTTCCAGGCGTCGCAGTGCAGCGTCCGCACCCTACTAGCGTCTTGTCTCTTAGCAACCAGGTCTTCAGAGCCTAATCTTAGGTGACCAACTCTGAGTCCAGAAGAAGGGGGAACTTAGGAGAGAGAAAAGAACTCGGATAAAAAATGGATGAAATGGTTGGTGGTGCAGGTCAGTTTGGTATACCTGCTTAGGTTAGGTAGAACGGGAAAATTGTACGATCTGAGGGACACAAAAAGTATCTTGGGTGAAGCATTATCTTTATCAGGAGACATCTCTTGAAAAATGTAAATAGCTCTGGGTTACAAATTCGGTTTTCATACATTAATAGGTTCAGCATGTGTGTATTATTTGGTGACTACTACTACTGGGAACCTAGTAAGATGTATAAGGCTGTTTTGTAGGGCAAATGCTGCATGTCAATATTTTAAATTTCCATTTGGAACGTGTCTATTCTGAGAACCAAAACTAAATGTTAGGATCAGAAAGGGCAGAAAAAAGTAAAGCTCTACCCAAATGAATAATTACTCTAATGAGATCTGATGATTAAGTGGCTAACTGTACAGAATGTCAGTTTTTTCCAATACCACCTGTGACTTTCTGCAAATTTTTTACTATTTCTGTTCCACAAAGACATTAAAATTAGGCAAGCTTTGTGCCACAAAGATATTAGGTAAATTCTTAAAGAGAAGCTACTTGCGCTCTCTTTCCTCTCTTTCTCCTTTCATATAGGCTAAATCTCAGTTGTGATGGTGGTGAGCCAGCTTAAACCATGACGACAAGAACAACCCATACAGGATTGCAAAGCAGTAACATAGAAGGAACCTGGGCCCTGAATTACCTTGTGAAGCAAAGCTGCTTGACAGGCCCTAGGCTGCTTGCTTACCTCTGGACTGTTACATGAGACAAAAGTGTTTATCTTGCTTTAGCTACTGTATTTTCCTGCTGTTTGTTACAGAGGTTCAGTGTATTCCCTAAAAGAGAAAGTTGGTCCCTGAAAGTGGTGTGCTACAATAGCAAAGATCTAGGATATATATGGCATTGGCAGGTAGAAACATATTACAGGCTGGAAGGCTGGTGATCCTTCCCAAATACACTGGGAAAAGTGTCACCTGTTTTAATTTGGAAAGCAGATTATCAAGCCTGTAGCTCTGAGGGAAGTGGTTTAGAAAAGGTCAGAATGCAAGTTTGTGTTGGCTACCGCACCCCTTGCTTTTGGCAAGGTTCAACAAAAAGAAATGAAGTCAGTTAAGAACCAGTTTGCAAGCAGAGACAGAATAGAGCTGTACTACTGGACTCCATAACAAGTGCTCCTGCTGTTAATACACATACTATTATGCATCTCTGAGGGGTCAATTCAGGCACTAAATGTTTGAAGCTTTTCCTCACCACTCTCCAGTCTTTTCTAGAACAATATACATTTACAGAAGGACAGAACTAGAAAGGATCCTTGAAAGATCAACTTCTTCAATCTTTTCATTTTAAGGTCAGAGAAAATTTAAGGGACTTGTCCAAGGTCAAATAGCCAACTCATTAGGTGCAATGACCTTTCCCCAAGGAATAATCTTTAGCATTGTACAGATGTTCCTTCCTGAGGCCTTTATGCAGAATGAGCAATTTCCCCTAAGACTTCCATCCACTTCCCACTCCTCACCAAGTCTAACCCTTTTGTGTTCATAAGCTCATCTATCCCTCTATTAGTTTTAGTACAGACTAAGTTGATTTAACAAGAGACCCAAAATACAGTGGCTTAACATGATAAAAGTTTATTTTGCTCTTAAACTACAGTAAAGGTGGGTGGTCCAGGGCTGGCATGGCTGCTTTGCCATCCTTAACACACAACTTCCATCTTGGAGTCTGAAATGACTGAACACTCACTCTTACTTCCACACCCCACAGAAGGAATGGGAGACAAGAAATGCATGCCCCAGTACTTTTAAAGGCACGATCCAGAAGTCACATGCATCACTTCCACTTATGTCTCATTGGCTACAACTTAACCACAAAGGAGGAGGCTAGATAATGAAGACCCTAGTTGAGCAGCTGTGTAGTCAATTAAAAGGTGGGAGTTCCACTTTTAAATTATGAGAGTGAATATTGGTGGTCAATTAGCAGACACAACAGCCTAGTTTCAAGGATTATATGCTACACAGACCTCTATTACTGACTTCACTAGAATAAATTATTTTTGAAATATTTTTAAGGAGAATTATTTTATTAAAATTTATTAAAAAGAATTATTTTATTAAAAATAAAAATATTTTTAATATTTTTAAATGTTCTCTAAGGAGAAATGTGAAACTAAAAGGGAACTCCATTAGTACTGCAAAAAAATATATACACAGAAAAATGTTTATGGGTAAAAGGCAATAAAAATAAATGCAAATGGCTTTTGGACTCCAGCTACTACCAAACATTACTAGAGAACAAGACAAAACTAAACATAACTTTCTTCATGACAAGGCAAAGGGTTGTATAAAACAACAACAAAAACAAACACAAATAATGTGGAAAAGTAAAAGGTATCAATAGCACATTTCCTTCATCTGCTTCAAGGTCTGGAAGAAATTAAAAAGGTGTGTTGGAGGCCATGTTCATTTCCCAAAAATGTCTCTGCTGGTTACTATATCCCAGCGTGGAGCTTTTTTTAATACCAAAATGTGGAGGCCCCTGTTCACAATACACACTCAAACTGATATGCCACATGTTCAGACTACAAGTCCTACATGATGTCATCGCATATGTGTTTGTGTGTGTGGCAGTTCTATGCCCAACACTGTCGAATCTTGATTGCTTACTCCTGAATGATAACTTTTCCTCTTGTCCCTCAGTAGCCGTGCTAGGAACAGGGAGAGATAATTTCCCACTCTTCTCATAGGCTGCTACTTGAGAATATACGGGGTCCTAAAGGGCACTGTTTAGTCCTTAAAGACAGCTCCTGATTCAAAACTGAATAACCGTGTTATTCAAATCTTAATAACACGGTTAGTAACAAGTGCTTATCACTTTTAACAAGAACTCTTACTACATGCCAGGTTCTCTGCTAAGTACTTAATACACGGTAGCCTCTCAACAACTCAGCGAAGATATTATTTTGAATTTAATGAATATTAAGCTTCAAATGGAAAATGTAACTATTCATATTAAGAGATTAATTTTGGTTGGCTTTCAAAAATGTTTTCAAATGCAAATGGAAAAACAGTAAAGTATTATATGTTTAATCATTAATATAATAGTTGAGTGAGTTTTTCCAATCAATTTATGAGTTTAGTTGCCATGTACCATATATGGATGAACAATTTTCAAAGAATATTGCCATAGACTACAAAAAATTCATAAAACTACACTATTATAAATGTATCTGCTTTTTTCTCTGATGAGTCAGAAGGCACTTAGGAATCTTCCTAAATCTTAAAGCAGAAGTTTCCAAATGTCTGTTTTAAGGACCTGTGAAGATCTGTGGCAAATGAGAAAAACAAGATGAAATATACATGCTTGCTGGTTTATTAAGTTTATTAACAGAAATTATGCCTTTTCTACTTTCTGGTGTTAATATCCTTTCTTCATTCCGGATTTCTCCTCATATCACATTAAGGATGTTGAGTTTCCCAGTTAATTTCAAACTAAGGATTAGTTGTTTTTGGTTTTGGTGAGGAAGATTGGCTCTGAGCTAACATCTGTTGCCAATCTTCCTCTTTTTTTGCTTGAGGAAGACTGTCGATGAGCTAACATCTGTGCCAATCTTCCCCTATTTTGTATGTGGGATGCCACCACAGCATGGGTTCATGGGTGGTATGTAGGTCCGTGCCCAGGATCCGAACCCATGAACCCCAGGCCACCAAAGCAGCGCATGCAAACTTAATCACTACACCACCGGGCCGACCCCTAAGGAGTAGTTTTTATAAAGTAAATATTGTTAAAAAAACAAAACGTCTCAAAGAAACAAACAACAGACATTAATTTTCCACAATGTAAAATTTGAAATAATTGGCTATGAGTCTAGAAACTGGAGGGAACTTCTACTTTTGGCATTGTGGTGGGCTACATGGGAGATTCTCCTGCTGAACAAGTAAGACCCTGGCTGGGATACATTCCTTAAAGTACTGCTGGTCTCAGGAAGTAGGAGGGAAGGCAAAATCAATCAAAACTGGTGAGCTGGGAACCTGCAGGCAGAAGGGAGGGGTACAAGTGTCCTGAAGGTAGATGCCCATAGCAACTTAGCTGTCAGGATTCTGAGCTTTGAGCTGATATGTAGAGAATAGTGAGGAGCTGATCCTGGTCTCACATTCTTACTCAAGTCCTTCTAGGGAGGACTGAAGTGGTCCCAGAATGATGATGCTTCCATACTACCAGAAGAGGCAGAAGTGAATCCTCTGTGGAGTCAAGCTTTCCTCAATTTTGGCCTGCAGACTCACAGATTAACAAGCAGTGAGCTCATAAAGGTCACCATAAACCTGAAGAGGCCAGACACTATGTGTGAGAGTCAGCACAAACAACATTTTAACTTCCAAGGTGTGCAGATATTGGAATTCTTGTAGACGTTAACCTGGCATTCTTAAATAAAAGGCACAATAAATTATCAATAATGAACAGGCAGATTGAAAAAAAAAGACAGAACTTCTAGATATAATTATTGAAATACCATTAATTATAATTAAAATTAAAATTTGGAAATTTAAAGAAAGCTCAGTGAATGAGTAAAATGGTAAATTAGAAATAGCTGAAGAGTAAACATGCAAATATACATGAAAAAATTACCCAGAGTACAGCAGAGAGACAAAGAGATGGGAAATAGG